TTGCCTGGGCAAAAAAGCCCGGGTTGGCATCAAAGTGGAGGATGCTGGGCAGGAGACGGCCCTGCTGTAGAACGGCGGTAATGTTGCCGTGTGGGCCGGTGTGACCGGCGTTGATGTGTACTGTTTCTGGGGTAGTGGAGGTGGCACGAGTGGCAGGCGGTGGTATCGGGCGAGTGGCCTTGTCGACCAAACTGGGAATGTTGATACAGTGGTAGGAGAAGGAATCATAGTATTGGTAGTGTCATTCCACTTGACATGTGTAAGTTGTCGGAAATCAGCCAAATCATCATGGGTGAAGCCGCTGTCAGCGAGCATTTTTGCAACGTATGCGTGTTGCGGTTTGTTCTCTGCTGCCAGCTGTGCGGCATGAAAACCGAGCCACCATTCGATCTGCTCTTGGTGAGATAGTTGATGGAAGTGTGGAGGAGGTGGCTTCCAAGGTGGCTTGGGCCGTCGCAGTGCTGGGATGTTGGGAAAGTCCGCCTGGAACATGTTGGTAATTTGATGGTGAGGTGTTGACTGTTGATTGGGCCGCAGAGTGATGGGTGCATGGGAGCGGCTGCGGGAGCGGCTTTCGGAGGTTGCGGAATATGAGGATGAAGGGGAACGGCGGCGCCGGTGGCGTGCTGACGAAGCTTGAGCGGTTGAGGCTGGTGCGCCGGTCTCGTGAGCGGCGACTGCGGTGGCGGCGACGACGTCGGCTGCGGCCTCTGCTGCGGTGGGCACGACCGGTGGTTGCAAGAGAAGCATGTGGTGAATGGGTAGCGCCCGAATGGGCAGGTGTAGTTGCTTGAGGTTGTGTGTGTGATCGTTGGGTAGCGGTTGGACTGTTTCTGGTGGGGGCGCAAGAGTGGTGGATGGTGATGTGGGAGGGAGTGAAGTGGTTGCTGGTTGCGAGGTACTCGGATGGGTATTCGCTGATGGTGGAGCGCTCGGGTCAACAGGAGCTGGTGGCGTAGATGTCACGGTGGATGGTGCTGGATCAGAGGGAACTGTAGTAGCTGAGGTTGATGGCTGGTGTGAATGCGGTGACGGGTGAGCCACTGGTGGAAAGAGGGAGTAAGGTTGCCAAATGCCTTGTGAATGGTCCCAGTGAATGGGAGTTGGTTGCGCTGGTGGTTGTGGTGCCGGTGGAGCTTGTGGAGGCGATGACACCGGTGGAGATTGCAAGAATGGTGGGTGGTGTGGAGGTTGTACTGGTATTGGTTCAAATGCCTGCAACAGAGATGGTACTGGGCAGGCGTGTGCGTGGGTCACGAAAGTCGGTGCTGGTGGATGATGCGGCGGCAGGTGAAGTGGCCACGTAGGAGCTGGTTGTGGTGAAGTGGGCTGAAACTGAGGTAAGATCGCTAGTGGTTGTTGATGAGGCAAGACAGTAGGCATAGGTGCGGTTGGTGGATGATGGTGCCATGGTGGTGGCTGGGTGTTGACGGTAGGCATTGTGGGTGCGGCACAAGGTGACGGCCATTGTGGATATGGCCAGGGATACTGCATGTGGAGAACAATGGAGAGGTCAATCCGATAGGCTGAAGGCTGCAGAAAATGGCGCCGGTGCGGCACAGCAGCTGAAATGAAAAGTTGGAAGTACTGGTAAAGTGTGGAGCCTGAGTGCATCTGCAGTGAAAGGAAGTAAGGTGAATTCGTGGCATGCAATGCAATTCCTGCGATCTGTGGAGTGGTGTAGAGCATGTGGAAGCTGATCAAACGGCTGCGGATTAAAAATTGAGAGTTGAAAAACGCAAACTGCACAAAACCGATATCATGACCTTGCAACACCGAAGGAGTTCAGAGATTCTTGTGGTAAGTCCGTCGTTTATAGCCCGGCGGCTCGAAAATCCGTTAATTCAGTGATAAAAATGAATGGACGAACAGGCAGTTATAAAAAATGAAAGGTCGGTGATTTCCGGTATGATTTCAGCGCCTCCTTTCGGAGGGTCACACCCAGTACCCACGTGGGAAGACTGAGCGGCTCACACTTCGACATTGGTTTTCAGTTAGACTCAGTTGCCACGTTGGGAAGGATGGCGATGGAACCGTATGGTGAAAAGTCCACGGAATTGTAGGTGTTTGAACAATGATTGTTTCCCTTGACTGCAGTGACGAAGCGGCTCAAGCTGCATCGCTGCTGGGGAGGAAATGGTTTGGGGGAGTATCATGAAACACCATGAAACAAAAAGCAGAAAGTGGAACGGCTTGATCAACAGTTGCGTCGCAGGTACAGGAAACTGGCCAAGTTTCCCTTCCCACTCTTCTCCACAGCTTCGTTGCGTGTGATAGGAGAAGAGCGTCACACGCCCCTGCTTCAGTGGAACAGTGGAAAAAGGGAACAAGGAAAACCCTTAGAACCAGGGTGTGACACACACACACACAAAAGAAAACAAAGAACCCCGCAACCTCCCTCAACCCGGAAGATCTCGGAAGATTCTTTCTGTGGTGCGTCATTTCAGTTCCCTCATGAAAGCCAATGGCTGAACAATTTGCAATGGCCTTTGACAAGCTCTTTTCTACGTGGCACTAGGAAACACTGGTAGTGGCTCTACACATGGGGAGGTGGCTAGGACTGGACTTCTGGGGTGCCGCTCCAGGTATCGTTTGCAATCGGTTTGAGCAAGACCTTATTCACTTATCACCAGCAGCCCCCCCCCAAAAAAAAAAAAAAAATTCTCTAAGTGCCCCTGGTTTCCTTTGGCCTTCCCTTCCCCACCCATGTCAAAAAGAAGGGGCAACCAGCTCCAAGGTTCCACGAGGGCAATGGCCCTGCCGTAGCAGTCCATGACCTCAGGGCTCTCAGTGATCCAATAGGCGCGCCGGTTGCGGAAGCCCTCCGCGTCGATCCGCACAGCCTCCGCGGTTGGGCGGCGTGTGCCCAGGGCTTAGCCCGGGTGCTTAAAGCTGGTTGCACGACGCGGCGTCTGTAAAAGCAGGCGGAGGATGAAAAGGAACAAACAATACAAAGATATGGTATGATGTATTGATATGTATTGCTAATTGGCTATTGCTGGAATCTATATATCAAATATTGTATGTGTGTCTTGAAGGTGAGTTGTTTATTCTGTTGTTAATTACACACCTATAATTAACAAATCCATACATATCCATACAGAAGATTGCACATCGCATCAACTCGCCAACTCCAAGAGCACTTGGGCACGCAAGCTTGGCACTAGAAAACAATCTTCCTTGACAGGCTTGGGTCTATCGGGTGAATCTAATCTTGCTAAGCAGCATCCACCACAGAGAAGTGGGTAGGCTTCCTGGCAGGCCCACCGAAAAGCTATGGAGGCACCCCGCCGGACTCTTGCAAGCAACTGCATGCTAGTTGCTAGTAATCAACCCCGTCCTGGTGATCTTTGGCACCTCAAAGCATCGGTCGCTGACACTCTTCGCCGCGTGTGACGGCGGAAGTGACCAACCAGGTCTAAACGCCGTGGCGGCAGCCGGTCCTTTTTCGTGTGGTCTTTTGGCCGAAGCCTCTGGCAGGACCATTCGTGCTCTGAGGGAAAATAAGACCACCACAGTCCACGCATTTGGATTCTAGGCTACTTCCTTTTCGCTTCTTGTGCTAGCAAGCTCCCAAACGACTCTCCGAGCCTTTGCATATACAACTCCTCCTCCTGCCCGGGTCCTCCCCTGGCTCTAATTGTCTACTTCCTCCACGAGGCTCAAACCCTCAACCAAGACCTGGTAAAATATCTCAACTATTCCACCTCCTCCCTGTGCCATGCTCCCTCTTCAGCGTTTCCATGTTCCAAGGCGCCGAGCGCGTGGAAAGACTGGGCGCCGAGACGCTCGGCGACTCAGGCAGCGACTCCGCGTCCGCGCCCGGCGCCGCGCGCGAGGCGGTGCTCTCGGAGAGGCTTGCCATGGCATTGTGGGCGCGATGCCGCGGTTGGTTGGGGCCGTTTCATGCGCCGGTTCGGCGAGTTTGGAGGTTTTCTTGAGGGAGGAGTGCTTGAAGATCGACTCTTGGGATGTTGGCTCTGTGTGAGTTGGAACTTCTTTTCGGTTAAGACTCATCGTGGGAGGTTGGGGTGGGTGATGCCTCGATCACCAAATAGGGCTCAACAGCGCCGACTTTTTGATGCAACCTCTTCTCGTGATAGTGAAACAAGCACACTGAGGAAAATACAGTGATAGCTTTGGCCTTCTCATAGCTTCTGGTAAAACGCAGCGAAGCTGAGCCAAACCAAAAAACATCAACGCCCTACCGCGTGCACCACCAACAACTCAAGGACAAGTTTGATACTGATTTGTAACTGCATGTGATTGAATAGGTTACGCTTCAACAAAGGACACGGCACCCGTCTATGGATTACTATAAAGCCTCTAGCTGTGATCCACCCGACCGCCGTGAGCCCGAGCCACGGTGGACCGCGTCCCCGCCAGACCGACTCGTAGGCTGCTCCGTGGTCCACTCGATATTCATCTACACTGCTAGCAGTGGTGGGGTGCTCTTTTTCAGTAATGACCAAGTATAGGCTTCTCCAGACTCCGGACATCTCTAGACGTATTGAATTATTGCATCTTATTAGCATATTGCATCATATTACACAGGCCACAGCAGCCATCGCTCGCCCACTTTTGGTCGCCGCCCGCCACTTGAACGGCCAAAGCGGCTTGACCAATCCTGCCAGGACCCTGGGACGGTCCGGCTCAATCGAAGAGGGCGACACGGCTTTCTCGAGGGAAGGTCTCGCCCACGGTCCTGCCAGGTCGGCCGTCGTGCCAAGTCGGTCCAAAACGCTGCACCATTCATTCGACTGCCCCCCCCCCGTCAGCGTTACCCGCGTTCGAGATGACGTTGGCATCCGGCCGAGCCCTCTTTTTCGGCCGCCGCGCGGCGTTGGCGTAGGTGCAGGACTTCACAGATCCAAAAAAGACGGACAAAATGACCTTAAGCTGGGAAAAAATATATGGCCCACGGCCTCAGCCGGCTCAGATCTGAACCATGGAGCGGACGAGGTCGACCGGGTTTCCTTCCTTTGATGATCGTAAGATCCTTAGAGGGCATCCACCACGCCCTTCTGAAGAGCCCGCTTGTTGAGAATGAACTTCAAGGACAAGTCCACGCCCTGCGAAGGAGCAATGAGGCGGTCGGGATCTTGGTAGCCCCACTCCAACTTGAAGCCACCCAAGAGACCAGGATCCACATCCTCCAAGAGTTTGATGTCAGTGCCCACCTGGCGAATTCATCGGCACGTCTGTGCATGCAATGTCTGACGTCGAACGCAAAGTCTCTCGTGCTGCTCGTGACCGGTCACGAGAGCACCCGAGCACTAACACCGCAAGTCCGTGCTCTTGTCGCAAAAAGCATGTTCTTCTTGTTGCTACTAGTAACAAGTGCCTCGCTAGTAGTAACAAGTGCCTTACTAC